TGCAAATCCAAAATCTGCTATTTTACATATACGATTTTCTGCTAATAGAACATTTCGAGCAACAAGATCACGATGAATACACTATCAAGTCAACAGCTTTTAAAATAGACTATAGTTTATGATTATAATAGTTATTTAATTGTGATTTTTTTGTTTTTTTTTTGAAATAAATTTTCTTATTTTTCTTTTTTTGATTGTTCATTAAGATAAAAAGAAAAAAGGAATTTTGTTGAGATGCTAATTAATAGTAGATAAATTATGTTTCGATTAGCTCAGTATGTCCTTAGAGGATCGCATCATGCGATTAAAAAATCATTTTTATATTCAAGTAAGATTGAAATTCTATGAGATTATTTGGTTTTATTCTTTTTGTTTTTCTAAAGATGTTCGAATGTATCTATCAGATGCTTGTCAAGCATTTGATAAATGGGATGAATCATTATCAAGTGAAATTCTACAAAAAACAAATATTAGTATATATGAACAGATTAATTGATAAAACTGATTCTTTTCTTTTCTTTTTTTTGTAAAGGTAAACTTTTGATTGATGTTGAACATAAATTAATTAGAAAGAAATACGTTAGTTCACTCGACATTAAAATTGTAAGTATTCATATAAATGAATAGAGCTCGTCGGGTCTAAGATTTTCGGACTCAAATCATACTTCTAATTTTTTTAATCTGAATTTGATACATCTTAACGATGATCGTATTATAATCAAGTGATCAGTAGTAAAGCCCATAGGATTGCTCTCGGACTTGGATTTGATAGGATTCAATTCGAAAATTTGGAGTTCGATGAGCTCTATATTTGAATATATTTGTTGTTTTTAGCTTATAGCGAAACTGACTCATGTTGAAACGACTGAAGATCTTAAACTGGTAGAAACAATTTTAAAAAAGTAAGAAAATAGATTTTTTTTAATGTTTGTTAGTCACTTGTTCGTAATTATCTTGATCTTGGTCAAAAAGAACGTTTATTACCTATTTTACATGATAAAGTTAATAGAATTAAAAACGAAATTATTCATAAAGCTTTATGATTTCATTTGTTAGGTTAAATATGGAATTTTTCTTGATCAATTTTCAGCTAATCTTTTATTAAATGCATTTTTACTTGAAAAAAAATACAAAGGTAAAAATAAATTGAGTTTTGTTTTTGTTATATAGAAAATTCTAAAATAGAAGCTGCACAAGTTTGTACAGATCTAATGTTACAAGATGAAGGTGATGATCAATTAACACGTGGACTTGGTTTAAATGCATGTTATAATTATTATTTAATAGCAACTGATGAAGATTTTAAAAGTACACA